TCATAAGCGAAAGTCATATAAATATTTTTTTATAAACGTCTTTATATTTTTGCTTTTACTTTACCCATCGATACTCCTTATGGCAAGTTGTTCTGCCGCGAGACGTAAACGGAATAAAATTTCACGGTGGTTAGGTTCGAAAATATTGGACAAAAACAGTATTCTTTTTCATTTAATCAATTGACTTACTTCTGTCTATCCACAGGAATAACATACATTAGACACGACATATTACTATAAGCTGAGAGATCAGCGATTGTAACATCATCTGTGGCAATGTAGGTTGTTTTGCTTAGAAACTTTTCCATTATACTATAACCTTCCTCAATGGTTTCTATCCATTGTGGCATCAACGTTTTTCTTCTTTCAACTACTACGGAGTACTAAAAGGTAAAGATTTAATAAGAAAACAATGTGAGAGAAGATTGCATCGATCCTGGCTCAACTTTGGATAATAATTCGATTGTCCACCATGTGCCAGCAACGTATCCTTTCGTACTTTAACAGTCCACACAAACAGAACCAGGTGAAACTGATTGTACATAGTTGGGAACACCGAAGGGAAAAGATTGCGTGGGCGTTCTCCAATGAGATGCACCGATCAAGTAAAAAAACCCGTCATCAAAATTTTGCACGGCTGTTAGATGCGCGTTGGACAGAAACCGCTGGAAGCAGATCATCCGCTCCAGATACGGCCCTGATGCTGACCACGTTGCTCAGACATGAGGGAACGACTAGAGAGAGTGTAAGAACAGAAGCCTTAAATGCAATGTAGCCAAAGGTAGATGGATACGGCACTGAGCCTTAAAAAAATTGTATATAAAAATAATCATTGCTTCTTTATGCCTTCTACTATTTTAATCTAAGGTATATTCAGGCACTGAATAAAGATTTTCTTTAGATTGCGCAATTTGTGGATCTCAGAATATTTGATTCTCTTTTTAAAATATTTGTGTGAAGATCTATCCGTTTAACAATCAGAACCGATCGTGCTCACCAAGGTACGGAAGATTAAATCATGATACCATAATTATAATATCCATCATGATATAAATTGCAATCGAGAATCTTATCATATACTTATTCCTTACTATATATCATTATATGAAGCTAAATAGTTTGTCTGTTTGTTTGAACGTGCTAACTCCGGAACTATTGGTCCCATTTAAATAATACTCTCTGTGTTTAATAGTTCATCTATCAAGGACGGCTATAGGCTATAAAACATCTCGCTACAATCAATAAAAGTCGAGCAGAGCGCGTAAAACCGCGTCGAAGTAGCTAATATAAGATAAAAATATTATGTAAACTTGAACCTTCAGTCCGTAAAGTAATCTACAATTAACCTTGGTCAAAATACCAGCCTTGGTTGGGTGCCTACGTAAACAAAACACGTTGCCTTACTTACGTACATAATGTTAGTACTTATTGAACCGTTAGCAATATTTCAGTGCTAATATTATGACGTTATATATAGGTACAGTATTTTTAATATAATGTTTTTAAAAGGGCTCTCTATCTTTGACATTTTTATAATAAGGGACAAACTGAAAGTGCTATAATATTTTTCACCCAAAGGAACCTACCTACGTTTTTTGATTTAGATTTTTTTTAATATATCGAGGGGTAACGGGCTATTTGGTTTAAGCGACATTTTGGGCGATATTGAGTTATATATATATTCGGAATCAGCGAATTTTTCTCCGTCGATTGATGCCGGTTTCATTAAAATCGGAGCACTTTTTTGGCGTTTGAAACAATTCTATTTTCGTGTTGTTTCCAAAGTGACAGTGTATTAAACGACATGAATTTCGCATTTTTTATTAAATTATGTACTTGAACCATACCATCATATTAATAACCGAGACATAAACCAGTCACCCTATCTCTAATTAATAAGTCAAAATGAGTTAAAGCGTTTTTCCTGTTTCTAATTTTTACTAGCAAGTAACTTGAATCATTTTGACTTCCCACTAATCACACGGTGTGTTGTCGCTTAAAACATTTATCCGTCACCCAAATACGACATGGTTCGTCTCTTAAACACTTCTAGCTGCTTTTATTTTCCACGCAGGGTGCTACTTAAACCAAATAGTCGTTTTCGTTCAGATATTTTGTTTAGTCATAAATCATTTAGCCCTCCTTTTTTTTAAAATGCATGTCGTTTTATACAGATGATAACATTAATAATGGATATTGAAACATTTTGCCAGTATTCATAAAAATATGAATCGGTCTTTAAATCACTAAATTTTAATATGGTACATTTCAATCATGTCATATGATACTATATTTATTTCATCGCCCGGGTGTTAAAAATCGTGATCATCCAACTGGACTATCGTGCGCTGGCGCTTCAGTCACTCCAGAATGCGTCGAAGACAGACGGGACGCGCACTCACCGCCAGTGTTTACGTAAAACGCTCATCGAAATTGAATCCTAAGTACTTTAATTTCAAGATCAACCTCGCGGTCGTCCGAAGACTTTGGTGACAATAGGCTATTGTGGAAGCTGATGACATACAATCTACGGCTGATTTAGCAACAGCTTTCGACGTTAGCATCAAAACAATATTGGTCCATTTACGTCAAATTGGCAAGGTAAAAAAACTTGACAAGTGGGTGTCCCACAAACTCAATGATCGCCAGAGCTAAGTATGCATCGAGCAGTGCCTTGCACTGCTCAACATAGTTGTAGTAGTAGTTAGTTCAGCACCTAAACAATACCCGAAACGAAAACTTACTCCTAGAAAAGTGATGGTCACTGATGGTCTAGCGCCAGTCTGATTCATCACAGGTTCTTACCAAACGGAGTGAGCATTACTGCGGATGTGTAATGTGAAGAACTGAACACAATGATGGAGAAGCTGACACATCTCCAACCAGCACTGGTCAATCGCTCATCTCCATTGCTCCTGCATTACAACGCGCGACCTAAAGCTGCACAACAGATGGTCTCCAAGTTACAAGAACTGGGGTTGGAAGCTCTCCAATATCCACCCTACTCACCAGACTACTTCTTTTCCAGAATTTGAATAACTTCTTCGCGGGAAAAAAATTCATTACCCGAGAGGCAGTACAAAATGCATTTAAAGAATTTGTTGCCACCCGTCCAGCTGATTTGTTTAAGAAGTATTTTGTGGCAGTTTATTGATGCCCAATAAACTGCCACTGCGTTGGCAACGATGCATTGATTACATGGGTGATTACTTCGATAAATACAAATAAAAAATACATGAAAAAAATCGTTTAAATTTTTTCATACAAAACGGCAATTTCAGTAAATAACCCATTAATTTATCTGATTTTGCTGAATAAATAATAATATAATCGTTGTTCCTATGCAGACTGTTATTATTAATCTAAATAAATACTTTGATATTGTGTTGTGTTTATTTATCCGATGTAAGCACCTGAGATTTTCGGTTGTTTCGATATATCCAGGTTGTTTTATCAGCCATTAATCGTCTTAGATGTAAATAAACATAAACATTTAACGATACAATTTCAATGTTATATGTCACATAAGTAAATTAGCCTGTTACTCATTTTAGTCTAAATTGGTAGTTGAGATAAATAGCTTGCTTCTATTTATTTTGGGTTTCGTTACTTCATACTTTTTGGCTTACTCTGTAAATAGAGTGCATCGTCGCTTAATTTTTTTCCCTTGTAGCCAATTGTAGTTATGAAGTCACTTAAATCATTTTTCCTGACTCTAAAAAAGGGCAGATTGTATTAAGCGACATTTATCTTTGTAATTAAAGGCCCGCTTTATTTGGAATTAGCATCAGCAACTAGATATTTCTATTTAAATTTCAATGCAATTTACCCCGTTCAAATATCTGCAGAAGCGTTTTTGTTATGAATTTTTTTTCGAAATTTCAAACTTTAAAAGGCTCTCCTGTAAAGTTGCAAAAATGTCGCTTAAACCAAATAGCCCGTTACCCCTCGATATATACTATAGACAGTAATAAATAAAATAATTTACCGCAATCTTTTTGAATCCAGAAAATATAATTTCATTGATAAATGATAGTTTTTGGTTGACTAGCGCTCTCGTCTTATAATCTTTTGGGTACCATGAATCTTCAGTGCCGTATGCATCAGCTAAATACATTAATATCGCATGACTGAAATGTTAAATTAAGGGTTACATTAAAATAAATCCTATCTAAACCTACATTCATTCATCATCATTAACAGCATGTAAATGCCCACTGCTGATCAAAGCCTCTTCTCACATGGAGAAGAGCATTAATCACCACGCTTGCTCAATGCGGGTTGGCGATTTCAAACTTATAATTAGAAATTATTAGCCCAGGTTTCCTCACGATTTTTTCCGTCACCGTTTGTCAGTGGTGTCTAAATAATCTTAGAAAGTACATATGGGTCACTCGAAAAAGTCACATTGGTACTTGCCGTTGGTAGGTTTAGAACCTACATTCATTAAATTGATATAATAATAACCTACACGTACACTATTTGTCCAATAAACACTCAAAGAAAAAATAAGAAACTAAAAATGTTTTACAATTGGTACCAAAGTTCTATTTTTTTTTACTCAGATTTTCCAGCTTTTTTATGTTGACCTTTCCAAATTGTTTTCACTATAATATTTATTTTTTCACCGAAGCCTAAGACTATATTTTTGTCATATCCTTCTAATCTCTTGAACCCGCCTACTCTTACAGTCAACTTTACAATGGGATACAAAATAAATTAAAAATATGATGAAAATACACGAGGAAAAGACCTTTATAATTACAAGAATAAAAACAAGTGATTTAGAATCAAAACAACCGCAGCTAAGAGGAAGAAATAAATCAATTTTCAGAATAATAAATTAAAACGTGTTAAGCCATAACCGAGTAAAATGGCGTTGTTTGAATTGTGGATTTCCCAGAATTTAGGATCAAGCATGAATGAAAAATTGCTATATACCTACATACATACATGTGGGCTTAAGCCACAGGCTATTTTTGACCGATACCGACGTAAACATTTTATTTAAGTTCGAAAATAATATATAGTGACATAGGACATTTACTTTGTGATAATGAGAAGTATAATTTTCGTTCGATTGTAATAGTTTTCTTGAAATTTAGGGTTTAATAAGTTAACGATATGTATTGTGTTCTAAGCAAATATATTTACTAATATAAACTCTAATAGTACATTAAATTTAATATTGGGTAACCTATTATTATCACTACATAGTATAAAACAAGGTCGCTATCCTCTCTGTCTGTTCTTATGTAGGCTTTGATCTTTAAAACTACGCAAGGGATTTTGATGCGGTTTTTTTTAATAGATAGAGTGATTTTTAAGTAAGTTTTATATGTATAATACATGCATATTACACCCGTGCAAAGCCGGGGCGGGTCGCTAATAAATGAAATGTTCATGAATTATGTCGGAAATAAAACAGTTTGGTTTTATAATTAAATGAAATAATATACCCATCATGCAATATAAAGTCTTCATCTTCAAGAACAGGAACTGTTCGCATTGGATTTTTCTAAAATATAGTAATAATATATCAATGTACTTAGACTACGTTATATACATAAATCCATTATGGATTCATGTATCTTCAATTTCTACGATTGACTATGAATGTAATAATTTTTATACTATCTATAGTAAACGATGAACTTGTCGCCTAAGGACATGATTGGCCATACAAAGCTGTAAAAAGGGATGAGTGGTGGATGGAGGATAGGGTGGCCTTTGCCCTGCAATGGGAGACCATGGCTAAAAATAAATAATAAAATGTCTTACATTATGAATTGTCTTACATTTAAAAATTCAGGATCCAACATTGACTTATCGGATAGATTAACTTCTATATTTTCATATGGAACTTGAAATATCTCAAACGCCATTATAGAAGCCCGTACAGACGGACTTAGTTCTGTTGTATATAATTTTATTACCATCTGAAATATATCAAACACAAAATGTTTAGGAAAATAAGCCTTACATAGGTGCCTTTTGTATTGTCTACATGGATTAGTTTCGTTTGAAACTATTTTGATATCTTTTTCATATATCATGTTTAAGCATGTCTGGTATTTTCGTCACAAGGACAGGACTTAGCTGAAGTTAGTTGTAAAATGGTAAATTGTTTTAGTTATTAATAGGTATCAGAAGTGTGTTTTGAAACCAAGTTCTCAAATTATTAAGATAATTAATTGGTCAAGAATGATAACTATTAAGAACAAGAGAACGTAATAATACTAGATAAGGACGCAACGATAAGCCTACATAATATTATCTAGTTACATGAGTAACATTAATGTTACGATACTTACCTTTTTAAAACCTTATCTCGTACAGACAGATTCATCTCCTACAGAAGACTTTTTTCCTTTCTCTTTTACTTTCGTTTTATTTAGTTGTTTAGTTGTAGGTAATTTTAAGTTGTAAATATTTATATACCTCTAGTTAAAAGGCTTTCTTATATGTTATAGCAGATTGACTGTAATATTAATGTTAAATAAAATAAAAATCTACCTACAGAAGTAGGTATATAAATTTCGGAAGGTCTTCCTATACACGTAATATCTAAGTTTACTTCCCAATTATCTGAAGCACTACGTTGTGAGTGACATGTTGTAAACGGTCTGTCTACGAGCGTTGCAATGACCCGTTAACTGCAGCTAACTGTTATGGTTTCTGTACACAATCACCTATCTACAACCTTCCTATATATATATTCTAAGTTTCCAAATAGTTACATGTAGGGAAACAAAACTATGTATTATGAATATTTTGGGTTTCACATGATTCATGAATTTAAAAAATATCAGCTACAACTTACTTTACAACAAAGTTTATTTTGAAGCCAGTCTACAACTTACAGGCACGTAGGTACTATGTCCAATAATAACAACGTAATAATCTCGTCATTATAAATAAAATCTTATAAAGAAAAGTTAAAAGACATGGGTAAGTTTGTTGATAAAAATTGACATTAATTGATATGTTTTCAGATTCATTCGTTTCAATAGCCTTGAATGACTTTATAATGCAACCAAAGAGGTATATTAGTACCAAATAGTAAATAAAATGAAATGAAACCTTCATTTATGATACACTAGCAGCCCGTCCCGACTTCGCAAGGGGTAGAATAATTATTTTTAGAAATAATTATATTTAGTAGAAATAATTATTTTTAGTAGAAATTAATTATTTTTGGAAATTTGGATTGTTGTAGTGACATAACTACAATAGTTGGACATATGCTACCGCGGAGTTTTTTGTAGACATTATGATGTTCTTGAATATTGTTGTATATTATATTGTTCTATCGCTAATAGTTTCGGAAGCGCATTCGACGAAAGACATTTTAAGACTCATTTTTCTACACCTTCGGTTACATTGTTCAAAATTTACCAAGAATCCCTAATTTTTTTCAAAATGAAATGTAGCCTATGTCAAATTGGAAGAATGTAGCATTCTATTGGTGAAAGACTTTTTTAAATCGGCCCAGTACTTTTTGAGCCTATTCTTTACAAACATACAAAAATAGGTACAAATCTTTCTTTAAAATATTAGTATAGATAGGTACATTTGGTTGGCCATTTTTAAATTAAAGTGCGCTATGATCAGCCTATTTTAGGAATACAAATAATCGTTTAAGAGTTAACATGAATAAGTAAATTAATCTATATATATAAAAGAAAGTCGTGTTAGTTACACTATTTATAACTCAAGAACGGCTATATCGATTTGGATGAAAATTGGTGAGGATGTAGCTTAGAACCAGGAGACGGACATAGGATACTTTTTACCCAATACTTATTTTTTACTTTTAACCGAAAATCAAGAACGGGTACGGGAAATACCGGGATTGCGCGTACGAAGTCGCGGGCAGAAGCTAGTTAGTTATGAAAAAAAAATATGAATTTGTCGTGTTTTTATGAATTACATGTCAATATTGTTCGTCAAAAAGTGATCAGGAAGACTACATAGTGCATAATAATAAGTCATAATAAATTGATGTCAATGAGTAGGTAATTTATAAGTAGGTATTGTTTTATACTCATTGCCCAATATCAAGCAATATCTTATACATCGTTGGAATGAAACAAAATAATTAGTTTAAATAAATTGTTTTATTTATTACTCATATACATGACAATATAAACACACTTGTTATATTTAGTCTTATCTTATAAAACTTAAAACGACAATGATTTAACGAATAATAAGAAATACAGGAATTTATGCAACTCTGCTATTAACATACGCTGCTAATTCATTTGCACCTGCTTCATCATATTTCTTACAATATGGCGCTATTTTCAGATTTTCTAACCAGGCTGATGTCTTTGGGTATCTGGAAGAAAAAAGAATTTAAGTATCGCTTGTACTTATTAGTTTTTTAAAAACAATATTTTTTTTTTTAAAGATTTGGAGGGCAAATAATTATACGGACAGATCCGAAAGACTAAAAGAGTTACAGGTTGCGTTGCCCATAACCGTGTTAGGCCTCCGGTAATCTCATTCACAAACAAGTTTTCTGTGAGATTTGTATTTTATATTTGTAAATTGATTATGTTTGACTTACTTTTGAGCGTCTAATTTTATAATTTGTGTGAGAGACGTCAAAACAGCCAAGATAGCTACATCAGCGATTGTGACATGGTCTCCAGCGATATATTTTGTCCGGGACAAGAATGCTTCCATGAACTCGTAGCCTTCTGTAACAGCTGCTATCAATTTTGGTTCAATAGTCCTCTTTCCTGTCATCACTACTTGTCCCTGTAAAATAATATATAGAGTTTAATATAAACCGCCATAAGACGATAATATTAAGAGAAACCAGTGATATTGCTTAGAAAAAATTTGGTGTGATCTGTACTTGATACTTACAGTAACATCTCGTGCTCTAGCGCAAATAATAACTGCGTCGAAGATTAGTTTCTGGTTAACAAGCGCCCGTTTCTTAACGTCTTTCGGATACCAAGAGTCGTCTTTTCCGTAGGTGTCAGCGAGATACGGCAGTATTGCGTGACTGGAAATAACATAAATATCACCATTTGTTTCGTCTTCACCAAGATTTTTCTTGATGAATATAGAGGTACATTAATTTTATGCCTGAATAATGATATGGTATTAAGCACCAATAATAATTAAACAAACCTGTCATGTAATGTTAAATCTCCATCTTCCATAACAGGGACTTGGTGGATGGGATTTTTCTGTAAAGAAGGAAATATTTTACCTTAGATTCCAACACTAGGAACACGATAAAAATTACAATAATATTGTAGTTTAAACAGTAGGTCTCTGACGTCCAAAGTAGGTGTGGCATTGTAATGTTTGCCTCTGGGATTGTAATGTTGTGTTCATAAGGGGTTGTCAAGTTACCTTTAAAAATTCTGGTGTAAGATGTTCACCAGCCTGAAGGTCGACTGGTATCTTCTCGAATGGTACATTGAAGATCTCACAAGCCATCATGCATGCACGCACCGGCGGGCTCATGTCGTAGGTGTATAGTTTTACAACCATCTGGAAGTACCAATTATTACTATTATATTAAACTAAATAAACGTTTGAAAAACAAACACCTTCAAAAATGGAAAGCCACTATGTCTGGTGAGTTATAAAAAAAATTAACGTTCTAGAGACGAAGTTACTTTTTTTTTGTGAAAAAGTCTGCGGTCCCTGAAAGACAAACCTACAGTGACTACTAAGCTTCATCAAGCATTGGGTATGTCATCGAATTGACTATTATAGTAAACTTTTAAGTAAATACATACATTGTATCGATCTAATAATTGGAATGATGACAGGGTATGAAAATTAAAAATCTAATTAGTCCGTAAGTTAGGTAATAAAAAGTATCTAATACTTTTTCAATACCTAAAACGTATTTTTTTATTGTGTCGTATAATAAAACAATACTTAGATAAACCGAATCAAAGTAAAACTAAAACATCATTTCTGCGTATACAATGTACATACATAGAAGTGACGTCACGCGACATTTCAAATCAATATATCGTCGAAAGTATTCGTTTCTGTAAGAAAATAAAAAATACGTGTCTAATGATTTAAAATAATCTACCAGACGGACATTAAAATAAAAATTAGGCATCTACCCTATTATGTAGGCATATCAATTACTTAGTTTATAAATAAAAAAGATGAAATTAAAAATTATTTAAGTAAAATTTTATTGACGGAAAGCACTCACGTTTGCAATTATTTTTACGTAAATATGTAAATTAGTAGTCTACCGTACGTCTCAGTCGATTTGGTACTGAACGATATAGGAAGCTATTAGCTGTTTATAAATCGATACGGGTACATTATATCACTAGTTGTTATCTGATTGTGTAATATCAACATGGAACGATTGGATTTTTATCAAAAAAAAAACAAAACAGTAGGTATTGTTTTATACTCATTGTCCAATACCAAGCAATATCTTATACATAGTTGGAATGAAACAAAATAATAAGTTTAAATAAATTGTTTTATTTATTACTCATATACATGACAATATAAACACACTTTTTATATTTAGTCTTATCTAATAAAACTTAAAACGACAATGATTTAACGAATAATAAGAAACACAGGAATTTATGCAACTCTGCTATTAACATAAGTATGCTGCCAGTTCATTTGCACCTGCTTCATCATATTTCTTACAATATGGCGCTGTTTTCAGGTTTTCTTTAAGCCGAGATAATATTGACCAGGATGAGAGCCTATATCAAACTCCATTTAGGAATCAACTACTTATCTAGTGGTTATCTCGTCGTGTAATATAGACACCAAATTTGACTATTATCAAAAAATAAACACATTACCCTGATTGGAATATAGGGATTGACACGTTCTGTTTTAGTTTTACCCTCAATTTTGAAATTGACCTGATTATGGTATCAGATAAAAAATACCCATAGCTTACGGAAGTGAA